GATCTAGGTGTTTGGAACTTTGTATTTTGCCCCATATATCTACATTGAATAGCGCCTATCTCTTTCATAGAACTTCAGAATGTGATCCACTCAGAAATACGATTGCCAGAATTATTTCACTTAAGAGAATGGCCTCAAGTATGAGAAACCAAAAGTGTAAATAAAGACGAAAATGTATAATAGATGTTGTCAAATAGGAAGAAAATGTTCAAAAGGACATGGGAACTAGGAAGGGGGAAGAGGAAAAGGAAGGGGGAAAATGATGAGAAAAGAAGGAAAAATGGAAACAAAATTTTTGTAAATAAAGAGGGAAAGAGGAGTTGAAAGGAGGGGAAGGAAAAGGGAAAAAAAATCAAGTTATATCATGTACAGATACAAATTCCCTATAATGAATGTGATCATTATACATTCCTAAAATGTATAATAAACTTAATTGATAAAAAAAAGTTGCAGTCGGTATAATTAGCTGAAGTCATACTAGAGTATGGTAGACCCTTCCAGCAACGGGCCTTGTATCCTGAAAAGAAAGGGAGAAGAGACGGGCAAGGAAAGGAGGCACAGAGTGGCGAAGTTTCGGTGAGAACAAAAGCAGAGCTTGGTATACAACCACAAGCCCATGGATATCAGGGATCCTTGGCAATACCAGCAGTTAAGAAAAGCATGGGACAGCATGCTCCCTTGGAGCACCCCTAGAGCCTCAAGAGCAAACACAGCCCTGCTCACATGTGAGTTTCAGCCTTGTACCCTCCATAACTGTGGGAAAACAAATTTACATTGTTTTAAACTACGCAGTTTGTGATAGTCACTCAAAACTCAAACGCCCAGCCTTTATTCTGGATCTCTGCCAGAAGCCCTTCCCCAAGCAGCAATCACTAGTCAAGAAGAGGCTTCATGCCACCAAAAACTAACCCAAGCAGAGTATGAAAGAACAGATATTGGGACCCTTGAATGCTGAATTCAGGTGACTCAATTTTTTTTGCATGAAATTCACCCCTATCAAACCATCTTCAACAGTTTAAGTACCAAATTCCAACATTCATGTCTTTTAATCTAAGCCTTCGTGAAATGCTGTTACAAGGTGTTTTCCCCAGGAAGCATCCTCTGGGGCTCTGAGATTTGCATGTGGAAGGACTTTTGGGGAGTGCTCACTGAACACCTGTGAGTGGCAGGAAAACATAATTGAGGAGAACAGAAGTTGAACAACAGTACAATTGCAACAGGGGCTCCAGCTGATCCTCCAGAGAGCTTGAGCACTGGAGAGGCCCTTTGGAGTTGTCCCAACTGAAGCGAGGAGGCCAGGCTTCTGTACCCCATCTATATCAGCGGTTGGATGCAGGCTGCCGGCAGGAGGAGCCCAGATTTGGGCAGGCGGGGTGATGGACACAGCTGTGAGAATCCAGAGAAAATGCATGCCTGAGTCCTAAAGGGGGATCTAGAGGGTGAATAGCAGTATCTACCGTGTATATAGATGAAGTCGTTCTGCCTAATCATCATCTGTTACTAGCATGAGAGACTCCACACCTGGGTTAGAGACACCATACTCTGGGAAATAATGCATTAGTCCCTCTCAAGTCATGCACACAGTGACGGGCCTGAGAGGTCTCCGCACTGCATTCCACGTCTTCCCTCTCTCGCTCATATGTCGTCCACTCCCATACAGCCCAACCACTCTTGAAAGCTCTTCTTTAGAGCCGCTCCTGATTACAACTGCACCACAGTGATCCTTTCTTCTCTTCTAGTTACCCAGGGTCATAGAAGATAATCATTTTACTGCCTGGAAATTGCCATTCATTTGTTTGTTCGTTTACTGATTCATTTAACAGCCATTACACATTTCTAATACCTACTCGATACTACTCTAAGCATTCAGTGTTAAAAAGTAAAGAGATTGCAAAGGGCCTTCACATCATAATAATGGATTTTAGCTAAACATAATTAAGACACTTGGGGGGGATTATGGGCACTATCATACCTTGAACAGATCCAGGTTACTCAAAATACCATCTATGGATGTTGGGGAAGATGGGTCACCTGTGGGGTCCACAACACAAGGAATGCAGTTTGCAGGTAGAGCATTGAAACATTGACTGAGTCACTCTTCAAACCTCAGCTGAGTCACCCATCTTCTGCCTTTCCGCTGAGTCCACCTTGGTATCCCACAAATTGGTCACATTGCCAAGAAGCGAGTTAACAGTCTGTTGGGTGGGACCACTAGCTTTATCCTCCTAAGCCACTAGCAGCTCACCAGCCCCAATCATGTGCCTTTGTATGTGCAAACACACTGTGTATACGACCTGAAGTCACAAACACTTCTTGTGAAACACACAGCTGTCCACATAGACTGGACACCTCTAAAAATTGAGCCCCCAGAGGACACAGCATTCCATTTTGGCTTTCCCCTGAACAGCTTCAATACCTTTAGGCCAGTCACTAAGAGGTAAAGTAAATCTCTCAGTGGGTGGGACTTCCACATTAAATAGAAATTATGCGTCTAAGTGTTTGGCTCACAGCACAGACTGTATCTCAAAGAAATAAAAGCAGGAGAATTTTTTTTTAAATTAGCCTGCTATAGACTGGAAAATAGAAGAGAAAATACCATATTAATAATAATTATTTGAAGGTAATAGCTTATGTTCTTTAATGTAGTTCCAACATAAATGTCATTGTAAGAAATGATATTTCATTTCACTACTAACAAATCAGGTACTTAGGGTGCTGGGGGAGAAATGATTGGAACTACTTTAAAGCTACCTTAACCAGAGAAACTGCAAAAATATTTATATTCTTATGACGGAAGGAAGGAATGCTCCTCGTGGGTGTACTTAAGTATCCTCCATCTTTTGGATAAATGGCAATGCTAAACAAAAAATGGAAAGATGACCTTAGAATAATAACCTCAAGACTCAACTGGGACACAACTTCCCAATGTAGAAATTCATTTGCAATATGTTCGGGATGGAAATTTCTATATTGCTCTATAGTTCATAGACTTTATTATATATCTCAAACAAAAATCACCAAAACACCCAACTCTGGGCTGGTTTCTTTTCCCTTGTGGGGTGGGCCCTCTCATATGTAAAATTACTCAGGACTCCTTTGCTCACTGTCTGCAATTCTGCTCAGCTACTCAACAGTGTTTTTAAGGACAGCAAAACAAAGGGAAGGGGAAAACCAATCCATTCAGAGAGGTGTTTCATATGCAGAGTGGAATCTTTCAGAACAAACCCAGGTCTGGCACTGTTAGGATTTTCTCTAGCCAGTTTGCTTTCCATTCTTCCTTCTAGCTACCTCATGCAAAAGCCATGTGGAAAATTTCCTGAGATAAATGCAGCGTGGATATCTGAAAGCCATCCCACTGGGTGGACCTCTTTCATTCTCAGTCGTTTCTGATGGCCATTATGTATGTTGTAGGGAAAATGGAGAGCTGATGAGGGCCTGACCTATGAGCAGTTTAGCTTTCAGAAAAACTAAAAGGATTTGGAGTGCACAGCTGATTTATCATGAATGGCAGTGATACTTATGTGACTAGAAACTTAGTCTGAACTGGTGCTTGGAGAAACAAAGTCAGCGTAAGTCACCAATGTGATCAGTCTGAGAAAGGTTACATGGAATGTCTTAAATAAATGACTGGCATATAAGTAGACCTTAAGGTCTTAGCATTGCAATATTCCAGACTTAGTGTTCTCCAGTCTTATAGGTTTTGAATATCAATAGTGAACAAGCTCCTGATGGAATAACTTCCAAGCATATCTGAGTAAATGTATACAGAAACTCTTTTGTGGTACAGAGGAGAGGAACCTGAATTGCTCTCTGTGTTTGATATGTGAAATTCAGTTTCAAGAAAGTAGAGACACTTTAAGCATTGCCACAAGAGGGAAAGTGAAGTCTTTCAATATTTATCCAATGATCTCAACACTTCTATGTCTACAGTAATATACATAAATACGATTAATTCAGTCTAATAACATTTGTCCAGTAACAAACCAATTCTTTGAAGCAACTGTTTAGATGCTTTTGACAGAATTAAGGAGTCAAAATGAGCAGTTTAGTGGCCTAGTGTCAAAAATCTCTGGCCAGGTGGGAAGCTAGATAATGTTCACCGCCTGTCACTCCCGCACTCCCTCTGATAGTTAACAGATTCCTACAAGCTCAGGATTGCGTAAATGCCAAGTGCTTCCTGGCTGGTCCATGAGAGTATCAAAGCCAACACAATGAGCTTGAATAGTGGTGAGGTCCAGGTATTCATAGGGTTGAATGGAAATCACCAAGGAGCAGACTGTCAGCTTGCCTGAGAAATTTAAAAGAGTCTATTACCCTGGCACTGTCACAGTGTCCCTTATTTATGTTTCTCTATGGGGGAGCAGGAAGAGCAGCCAGAACATCCTGCTACAGCAGCTATCCAGCTGCTCATGCAGTTAATATAGCTGTAGAAAGAACTTGATTTATACAAGAGCACTTTCCCTCCACACTAGTGCATGAGTTCCAGACCCACTCATTCTGGGAGACCACGCCATGTACATATCCCTGGGTTCTGGTGACAGCAGGGCAACACAGAGCACTGTTGATTTAGACTGACACGCAAGACAAATATAATAATACATAAATGTGCTGACAATATCTATAGACAATCTATGCCTTTTATGGTGCATATGGGACTAATGCACTTGTTACAAAACAACAGTTTTCCATGCATATCACAGAGCCAGACAAAATTTTGCAAAAGGAAGTAATGCAGCCCAGAGGAAGGCTCTTGATGCTTGCTGGTTAGGCCCATCTGGTGGAGGAACTAAATTGGAAACCCTGCACACACTGCTACCAGCGTACACAGAAAGGATGCAATCACTGGAATAGCTCTTCAAGGCAAAGGGGCGGGACTAGGCTCTACTTATAGCCTTCTTTCCAAAGTGAGAATGCAGGGATGAACAACCTGTTATTGCTCCTCATTTCTGTGTATGTCTGCTGGGCAGGAAGCGGGGAGAGTGGTGTGTAGACTCACATACCTTGTAGGGGCCCTGGTTGCAGCCACAGTAGCTGCTCTCCATGGTGTAGCTTCTAGACACGCCCATCTCTCTCCACACCACCACCCGGGCAGTGGAGGCTCGGGATTTCTCCACAAGAAAGCTGCAGCTGCTCATTGTGAACGCAGGTGCTAGCTTATCAAGAATTTTGGGAAGAGTCTATGATAAAAAGAAAAATCAAACCATGATGAGCCACAGGTGATTAGGAGTTGTCATCATCAAAACAGGTTCTTGGCATTTATTAAGCATCTCTATGTATCAAATACTTAATATGCACTACAGGGAATAATTTATTAACCGTAAGAAATAGATAAGTTTTTATCATTTTGAATATAAAGAAACAGAGGATTAGAAAAAGGAAAAAAATAGATCGAGTCCCACAACTACGAAGTGGATAGCATAAGGTCCAAATGTCACCTGGACAAGTCGAAAGGCCATAGTCTTTTGGCTCTATTTTTCTGCATCACGGTAGACCTCTGCTGCACACATGCCTTTGGCCCCATGTATTGCTGAGTTGAGCAAATTGAAAGTCACAGAGCCACAGGGGCCTGAAATTTATAGTGACTCCATCCAGCACCGCTGCTTCCTAGCAGGGTCAGACTGAGAGCTGTTCAGGCAGGTCAGAGGGCCGTAGGGGCCACTGAAGATTCTTGAGCAAGAGCCCACACAAAGTTCTCTTGTTTCCTATGAGCGTACAATTGCCAAAATGAACTTTTTAGTCTCATTTTCTAAGCTATAAATCTGAGACAGGATCAATTATGAAACTCCTAAAACTCCATCCTCTCTGGGTTCATATATCCTAACTTTTCTTGGAGTAAAAATGCTTTATTTATGACCACTTAATCTCCATGTAGAAGGCATCTGTAGACTCTTGGCACTGTGATTGACAGAGACAGGGCTTGCAGCCACTGGGCCTAGCCCCAAGGGGACAATGACTCAGAGTTGATAGGACATGCGGTCCTTGGGTCAGCAGAAATACTGAGCTTAGGCAGACCCAGAACTTTTGTGACATTAACAAAAGGTCTCTCATTTCGGTATTGACAGAATATGTTCAACATAGCACATAACAGAAAACTGTGTTCATTAGATAACAGTGAAACTTCAGGCTTTTGAAAAATTTATGAGAAAAAGGGAGAGAAACATAACGAGTTGATAAGAATATGAATGAATTATTTTTAAAGCAATGAAGTTTTGTTAACTTCTAGAATATAGTGCAAATCTCTTAATCTCCCAGGTACTTATCTTCATGTTTAATATAACTGTTAATAACATTATATAATCATTAATTATACAGCAAATTAGGTGCAATAAAAATGTATATTAACATAATTATTTCTATAATTTGCTAGGATCTCTAAATTCCTCATAGTCTCCAGATCTACAGATCATTTAAAAAATTGAAATGCTACTGACATCCTCACTTCAGTTTCTAAAACTGTCTCCAAATTGATTTCATCGTAGCCAATATTGTCATTCCTTGCAATCTCTCACCCGGTTTTACCTTCAAAGTATTCACCATAATCGCAAATTGTTATATATTTATTAGTTGTTTAGTATCTCCTTTTCAGCCTGGAAGTTTCTTAAATGTATGTCTGTGTGTTATTGTCAAGAAAATCTCTGCACATTGACAAGTATGTTGCTTACAGAGAGTAATCCATAATTATGCAATGAAATAAATAGAATCTGCTAGTCCAAACCCTTAGGGAATGATTTAAATAAACATAAATATGTTATTTATGCCGTAGATGAAGTGATTGAGAATACCAGGAAATAGTTTTAATTAATCAATATTTTACCTTGTTATAAGAAGTTTAGTCATATCATTTAAAAGAATACTTTTTTAATCTGTTACTCTATTTCTTTTTTTGTGGTTTCTATAATTAGAAAAAAGATTTCATTTTTTTATGAAAATGGTAGGCTTAAGTTCACAGCAATACTGAGAAGACGGTACAGAGATATCTGCTATGTACTCTGCTCCCATGTGGGAACTTTCCCAGGCTCAACACCTGACAACAACACGGTCCCTTTGTTATAATAGAGGAGTCTACATAACATGTCATTGTCATTCAAAGCCCAATGTCCATTCATGGTGTGTGCAATCTCTGGGTTTAGACAAAAGGGCAGTAACATCAATCCAATACAACATCATACAGAATAGTTTCGCTGCCCTAAAATCCTCTGTGCTCCACCATCCAGTCCCCCACCCCTACACACACACACACACACACACACACTTTCCTTCCTTTCCCTCAAACTCCTGGAAACCGTTGATCTTTCATGGGTTTGTCTTTTCCAGAATGTCATATAGTTGGAATTCTACTACTTTTTAGGTTGCCTTCTATCACTTACTACAATCCTTTAAGATTACTTCAGTCTTTTCATTTCTTGATAGCTCATTTATTTATTTATTTATTTATTTTTTTTTTTTTTTTTTTTTTTTTTTTTTTTTTTTTTAGTTTTTCTCTGGTACCAGGAACTGAACTCACGACGTTGCGCTTGCCGGGCAGGCTCTTTTGCCGCTGAGCTAAATCCCCAGCCCCTATTTTTAGCACAGGACCATATTTCATGGTCTTGATGTGTCCCAGTTTATTCATTCACACACTGAAGGTTATCTTGATTGCATCTAAGATTTAAGAGCTGTGAATGAAATTGTTATTAACATCTCTGCAAATTTGTGTGGACATAGGTTTTCAACCCCTTAGGTAAATACCAAGGAGTATAATCACTGGTTTGTATGGTACAAATATGTTTAGCATTGTAAGAAGACACCAAACTGTCTTCCTCAGTGGCCATATCAGCTTGTACTCCCTCCAACAATGGGTGTCTGCTGTACCATATCCTGGTCCAAATTCATTGATGTCAGTGTTTTAGATTTTAATGGTTGTGTAGTGGTATCACATTGTGGTTTTAATCTGCACTTACTTTTGATGTGGTATGTGGGCATCTTTTTACATGCTTGCCATCTCTCATCTTTGGTGAATCTTTTAAGATTTTTAGCTCATTTTTTAAATCAGGTTGCTTGTTTTCTATTTGTTGAGTTTTTAAAGTTCTCTATATAAATTCTGAGTTCTAGAGAGCAATCCTTTAGTATGTCTTTTGCAAATATTTTTTTCTGTGTGTGACTAGTCTTTCCATTTTCTTGACAATATCTTTTACAAAAGAAAAAGTGATTTTAATAATTTTCAAGATATCAACTATTTCTTGTATAAATTGTGACTGGGATGCCATATCTAAAAAGTCATTGACATGACCAAAATCACATAGACTGTCTCCTATGTTTTCTCCCAGGAATTTTATAGTATTTTACCGAACATTTAGGTCTCAGGTCTACCATGAGTTAACTGTTATGAAGGTATGAGGTCTGTATCTAGTTTTATTCTTTTGTTGTTGTTACATGTGGATGTTTTATGCAACAACATTTGTAAAAGTGACTAAATTTCCTTAATTTTATTGCCTTCTATACTTTCTCAGATCAGTGGAATATATTTGCTAGGTATGATCAAAAAGTATGGTGAAGGATTAATTATTTTTCAAAGTATTACAGTAAAAGGCATATAGCCTCTTAATACCTCTCAAACTGTTTCCTCCCTCTTCAAAACACTTATCGTATTGTAGTTGTCATTTTTGGGAGAAATTCTTATAGTCATCTTGTGTCTTTAGTTGCACTGTGGTAGCTGCCTCAATGTCCTGATTCCATTCAAATCATTTGACTTTCATGGTCATTTTTATTTTGAGAAAGAACCAGAAGTAGCACAGCACCAGAGAATGTTGTGAGTAAGTGGATAAAGACATACTGTAATGGATTTATTGGTCAGAAATTCCCATAAATGGCTAATTAGAGTGGTGAGATCAAAAAATACAGTGAATGTTCATATGAAAGAATTTACTACAGTAGGATACATTGTTATTAATCCCGCTCAGAAAGTTAATACCACCCCCAGCACTAAACATGATATCTCATTGTTCTTGGCAATGTGTCTTTTACTGTAATATATTTTTATTTTAAAGGGTCACCATATGTTTCAATCACTCCTTTTTCACGGATCATTTCTTGGTTCCCTCTTGTGCTCCCTAGTTTATTTGTTTATTTTTACACCAGTGCACACTGTCTTGCACAATGCAGTAAATCTGAACTCAGCCTGAATCATCAGTCCTTCAACTTTTTTTCCTCCTTTATGCTGCATGGGCTATTGTGGGTTTTTTGTCTCTCTATAATCTGTTTATTGATACCTACAAACTAACTTGCTGTGATTTTCATTGGGATTGCACTGAATCTATAGATCAAGTTGGAGGCTGGGGATTTAGCTCAATGGTGCAGCACCTGGCAAGCATGATATCCTGAGCTTGAGTCCCAGCACCCCCTCTAAAAATATAGAACAAGTTGAGAAGATCTGACATTTTGATAATATCTGTAAGACAATTATGACAATTTCCATCTATAAGAATGAATACTTCTTTAGCTTTTCTTTGATTTTGTTGATCAAAGTATAATAGTTTTTCTCATTCAGATCTAATGTGTACTTTGTCAGATTGATACCAAAGTATTTTATTTTAGGGGGTACTAATATAAATGGTATTACATTTTTAATTTCAAATCCTATTTTTTCATTGTTGGTGTGCAGGAAAGCAATTGAACTCTATATTAATTTATATTTTATCCTTGTATTATTCATTAATTTTTATATTGTCTTACTGTGCTGCAACCTTTTCATTATTGTTAATTCAGGAATCCAAGAAACAAAATAAAGGCAATTTTACTTTTCTCTTTACAATCAGTATGTCTTTATCTCTTTTTCTTGTCTTATTTCATTGCTACAACTTCTGGCATGATATTGAAAAGGAATGGTGGAAAGACAGCCTTGCTTTGTTCTTAATTTAATGAGAAAGCTTCTGGTTTCTGACCATTAAGTATGATGTAGGATTTTGTAGATATTATTTACAAAGTTGTGAAAGAGAGATCTATTCTTCCTTTTTGAGAGTTTCTACTATGAATGGATACTGAACTTTGTCAAATGCTTTTGATATGATCATGCAATTTTTCTTCTTTAGGTTGTTGATATGATAGGTTATATTAATCAATTTTCAAGTGCTATATTAGTCATGAATATCAGGGTATATAATTAGGTCATGATGTATAATTCTTCATTATACAACACTAGATCTGACTTGCTAACATTTGCTTGAACATTCTCACATCTATTCAAGAGAGATTAATTTGTTGTTTTCTCTATTGTCTTTTGGTCTTCTCATACCTGGTTTTGATGTTGGGCTAATGCTGGTTTCATAAAATGAGTTAGGAAGTATTCCCTCCATTTCAATATGCTGAAAGAAACTATGAAGAAGTTGTATAATTTCTTCCTTAAATGTTTTTAGAATTCAACACTGAGTTCATCTGACCCTAGTATTTTCTGTTTATCAAAGCTATTAATTAGTAATTCATTGACCCAACTCTTTTAGTGAATAAAGGACTGTTCTGATTACCTGTTTCTTCTTATATGAGCTTTAGTAGCTTGTGTCTTCAAGAAATTGATTCATTTCATCTAGTTTATCAAATTTGTGGCTATAAAGTTGTTCATAGTATTCTTTTATTATCCATTTAGTGCCCATGAGATCTGTCTTTATGTCCCACTTTTCATTTTCAAAACTAGTAATTTGTGTCTTCTTCCTCTCCCTTTTTTACCTTAGTTAGCCATCTATATTTTCAATATTCTTTTGATTTTTGTAAGTACTAGCTTTTGGTTCCACTGACTTTGTCTTTTGATTTCTTGTTTTCCATTCCATTGATTTATAATGCAGTATTTTTGAAAAATAAAAATTGCATATATGTAATATATATAAAATGATATTTGGATTTTGCCTAATTTTTAAGAATTTCTTTTCTTCTGCTCACTTGAGATTTACCTTGTTCTTCCTTTTCAACTTTCTTAAGGTGCAAACACAGGTAATTGGTATTAGACCTTCTATTCTAGCACAAGCATTCAATCCTCTAAGTTTCCACAATTTTGATAAACTACAGTATCATTTAGTCTAAAATATTTTCTGATTTAGAGATTTCTCCTCTGACGTGTGTTATTTTGAAATGTATTGCTTAATTTTCATGTATTTTGGAATTTGCAGTTATTCTGTTGATATCTAGTTAATTTTATTGTGTTTAAGAACATGATTTCTTTTAAATTTGAGGTGTGTTCCATGGCCCATAATACAATTTACCTTAGTGGAGGTTTCGTCTGAGCTGGAGAAGAATGTGTATTCTGTTGTTGGATAACATCTACAGAGACGCAAATAATGGCCAGTTTATTGATAATATTTGTGGAACTCAGATATATCATAACTGATTTTCTTCCTGGTAGGTTTGTCCACTTCTGATGCAGGGTTGAAATTTCCAGTGATAATAGTGGATTCGCCTATTTCTCTTTGTAGGTTTTTAATTTTTTGCTTCATGTATTTTGATACTGTTAGGCATATGCATGCTAAGGATTGTTATGTCTTCTTAGAGAATTGATCATGTTATCATTATCACCCTTATTTATCTTTGATAATTTGCCTGCTAATTTCTGAGTTAGTATAACTACCCTTAGTTTGCTTTGACTAGTACTAGCATCACATATACTTTTCCATCTGGTTGCTTTTAATGTATATATCTTTGTACTTAAAATAGGTTTCTCCCACACATCATATAGTTGAATATTATTTTTTATTCACTTTGGCAGTCCGATTTAAACTTAATGCATGTAGACGATTGAGGTTCAAAGTGATTATTGATATTATGGGATTAGTATCTATCATATGTGTTGCTGCTTTCAATTTGTTGTCCTTGTCTTTTGCTGCTATTTCTGTCTTGCCCTCTTTTCCTGTTTTCTTGTAGGTTAAATTGAAAATTTTATGATTCTGTTGTCTTTTTGAGAAAATCAAATCTATTTTCATATTCTTAGTGATTGCTGTAAGTTTCCAGAATATATGTGCAGGTAATTTCAAATACTAGTGTACTCCTTTAGAGATGGTGTATCTTATAATTAATAAAATAAAGAGGATTCCTCCTTCTTGATACTTTCATCCTTAATGTCATTCATTTCACCTACTCATAAGCACTGGTGTGACTATGCAGTTAATAAAATACATTGTTGATATTATTACATAGGCATTGTGGCTGTAACATTAACTTAATTTATGTAAACACCCCACCCCGGGTCTCAATTTCCTCATCAGTAAAATGGGGGAGTCTTCTCTATTCTGGAAAAATCCATTTTACAGTGATAAAATGATTTTTGGGAAATCACCATAATCAAAGTCATGATGTACAGATCATTGTGCCTAGATTTGGAATAACAGCAATAAAAAGAGCTATATGTAGGCAGGACACCAAGAGCAAGGTTGAATTGAAAATGAGGGATGAGGGGGCTGGAGATTTAGCTCGGCGGCAAAAGCGCCTGCCTGGCAAGCGCAAAGTCGTGAGTTCGGTTCCCGGTACCGGAGAAAAACCAAAAAAAAAAAAAAAAAAGAAAATGAGGGATGAAGCTTAACCCTCACCCTCTTTCCTTTGTTCATATGTCTCCTAGAGCCCATGAGCTGCCACTGAAGAGCTCCAGAGTAGCAATGAACTCTATTTAATGAAATACATATAAACTTTGACTTCCTCATTTCACACAGGAAAAAACTGAGATTTAGGCAAATGGCTACCTCAAATAATGAATCTCAAAGGTGGATGTCAGTGTCCAGATAGGTTAATATTCTAACATTTCTAATAAATATTCTTGTCCTTATTTTCACAGCCAGAGACTATCATGTATATACCTCTGTCACATTATCCCTTTCACCTTACCTGATGCTGGGCTTCAAACTATTTGTGAATTTATTAGTTAAATAATATAAGTAATATACTAAAATTAAAATACATTCTGAAAGAGCTCATTCTGAAATTGACTGTGATGGTTAGGCTGTGCCCCATTCCATGAGAGCATTGTAAGGAGATTTCTTAAGGTTCTATTTCTTCTAAGCTCCATGAGGATACAGAATTATCCATGAATACTGCTACCTTCTGTTGGGAAAGGAGCAGTAAAGGAAACATATTTAAGATTAAATAATCTTAAAGGAGCAGTAAGACTCCATATTTAAGATAAATAATAGGATCTTTTTGTTCAAGTTATACATAAGCAATAATTTTATAGATGTCAGCATCCCAGATAAATGTTTGGGCTTACTTAACTAGTTTCCTAAGAAAAGGCAGTTAAGCTTCCTGGAATGTATTACTATTACTCTGGCTAAACCTTAGAGCAAATAGGTCATCGAGAATTTAGCTGTTAATTCTGCTATAATAGTCTCTGGGTAGCTGTACTGATACAGCAGGCTTTTCCAATGGACATGGATAAAGAGGAGTAAAGAGAAATGCAGGAAACAGGGACAAGTATTTCCAGATGAAACAGTAGTTTGGTGAATTTTTACCTCTTTCATTACTATGGTATTACTAACCTTGGAGATGAAGCTATTCTGTACACAGTAAAATGACACACTCAGAATCATAAAACATTTTGAAGAGGGAGGTGGCATCTTAATTTGCTTCATTCTTATATAAATTTGTAACAAAGGTCAGTTTTCATGTTGTGTTTGGACAGCTGTCACTATTCCACCTCTTCCTTATGTTCAGTAAGCAAGAACTTGTCTTCTCTATTCTGACTATGAAAATTCCTCCCATTTTCACTCTTCCTTAACTTCCTGCATGGTTCAGGAAGCAATAGTAGAGCTCTAATGCCTGGAATCCAGGTAAAAACTGAATTAGGTTCAGTGGATTACTGCTTAGCCTTTATGGAACACTCACATGGAAGGATGTGGATAGTCTAAGGCCTTAAATTTGTTTATTCCTTCATATTTACTTAGGGTTCCTTTGCACTCAGTATTATTATGTTCCTTATAGTATTTTTACTACCTTAATTTTACAGATGAGAACATGGTAGTTGAGAGATGTAATGCTAGTGACTCATAATCACACTCTTATTAACTGTAAAGCAGGGCACTAAAATAAGATTTCCTGCCTCAAATTTTCATGCCCTTTATTCATGTAGAAAGTAAAGGCAAAACAACCACGAAACAAACTAATATTTGAAGAAATTATGCAAGCCTTTATCCTGTTTGTGTTACTATCCTATAGTTATAATCACTAAAATGCTTGTTTGGAAAAAAATGGACAGTGGGCTGTCTCAAAGGTCATGTGATGGCCAAAGAGTGCTTCATGTCAGTCTCCCCCAGTGACTTGCCCTGTAACTGACGTCCTCCAAGAGAGCGGATGCGCCCACGGTACAGTTTGCTTGCCACAAGGTTTCCTTGATGCTGCAGCCATAAATGAACACATTCTTCTTTTGGGAGTGACCGTGAAAATCACAGAAGACCTACAACAGTCAAACAAAGGAGAAAATAAATACAGGTCAGGTTTGCTGGTTTTACAAACATTTGAAGTATCAGTTCTTTCAGGTGGATACTGTTTACTCAGAAGAACTAGCTACAGGAGGCTGGTGGGTGATTTTGACAAAAGCTGTATTGGTAGAGTTATCAGGGAAAACAGTAGATTGTAGGGATCTCAAGAGTGAACAGAATAAGAAGAAATATGAGCCGTGAGTATCCTTTGTTGAGAAATTTACTACGACTTGGAGGAGACAGGGTCAAAGCTGAAAGAGAAAATAGGAACAAGGATGTTTTAAAATATATATGAGAGGTTTGAATATTTTAAAAAGTCAACAGGAAAGATGCATTTTAAAGCAACAGATTAAATATGTAAAAGAAAAGTTAATAAATCACTATAAGTTCTCCCTAGATTTTGATGTGGTAAAGAATAATCACTAAAATTCAATGGATTGTCAAGCAAAGGTTTATTTTCAATTCATGCTATAGATCAGCTGTGACAAAACTCAGCATGACTTCATCCTGTGGTCCAACTAAATAAAGAATCTTAACTTGGAACATACCATTTTTGTGGCAAAGACAAAAAATGTCAAAAGTAGAATTATGTGATGACTGTGAAGGCTTCTACAGAAGCAAAGTAAACCTCAGGTCTGTTCTTTGGGTCCATGACTCAAAGAAAGGCAAAGGCCAATCTTATCAACAGAGAGGAGCAGTGTATTCCTTCTATAGTTTGCTGTGCAAATCACATGATGAACAACAACAATATAAAATTTTATTACTACAAAGTGAGATGTTAGTAATTTTTAACTGAAAAGGTGATGATTTTTTTTAGTTTATTAGTATGTGTTTAGTGTACAATGTGTAGGGGACGGTGACTCTTAGCATATCATTTTAAGACAGAATAACTCTGGTTTTAATGCAAGCCTCAAAATGTGTCGTGAGAAACATCCTGGAGGGGTTGTAATGAGTTAACTTTACAGTCGTGACTTAGCCCTGGAATGCTTCTCCAAAGACAAAGAATGCCACGGCCTAGATAACTACCTATGACCTTTCTTGGGTTGTTTCATCCTTTCCCTGGCCCTAGATAAACATTGTAACCATAAAGGAAATCTATGGTTATCTAAAGGGGGACATATAGAACAGAGTACAGAAAGTATGTATCATTGTGATTGGGCTCATGATGGGAGCCTGACTCAGTTAGGTGGCAGAAGGAAAACAACATGTAGCCAGGGCTACAACATTCCAATCTGTTACCATGGAAACCAAAAATGTATATAAGCTGGAAACAAAAGCAGGTCCACGCCCACTTCCCTGACTTGCAAGTCTGGATGAGAGGTGACCCATCTAAATCAAAACTTTGTCTGTTCTCATAAAGTTCTTTGGTCTCTTGCAGAATACAGCCTGAATTTTTGCTGCAACAAATGTTTACCTGCCTTTTGGGAAGTTGGTACATGTATATAACACATTTTGATTCCTATTTTCATCCCTTTTCCCTTCCCTTCCATCCCACGATCCACTTCCTTTTTTATTTTGGGGCATGTTTGCAATACATGATGTTTACATTCCTTGGGTGGAGTTGTACATGTACACAACACAGCCCAGTTCCTTTTTTTATATATATATACTGGGAATGGAACTCAGGACCTTGTGCTTGCCAGGCAGGCACTGTGCCATGAGCTACATCTCTGCCCCCAATTCCTTTTCTTCACTGCTTATCCCTTCCTTGTCTCCACTCCCCATTCCACTCTTGCTCACTTTGCCCTTTGAGGGAGGTCTATCTCCTTACTTCCTCTTATCTATCTTTTATTTTACTCTTTATCTTTACTCTGAGTTTCAAAGAGAAACAATTTGATACTTAAGCTTGTGTGTCTGATTTATTCCAGTTAATGTTATACTTTCAAGGTGCATCCATTTCCTCCAAATGACTCAAGTTTGACCACAAATCCCTCCCCTGTCTGCATGGTCCTTTGCAATGACCTGTGCTCCATCATTATCAAGAGGGGGAGTATATTTCTTCACACTTTGAATCTGAGCTTAGCTATGTGACCTTTTGGTCAATGAGAATAGACAAATAGGATGTGAGCCAAGGTTAATAAAGCACTTGCACTTGGAGTTGCTGTTGCAATGTGCCTGGGAACCCTGAAACGATTGCCATGTGAACAAGCCCATACCAACATGCTGGCAGATGGCCCCACTAACTTGGCTGATGCCAGACACATCTTACAACACACAGCTGGGCCAACATGGCACACACCACAGGAATCATACAGAATCAATAGATAGTGCATAGTTTTATGTCAGGGTGGCTTGTTATCCAACAAAATCTATGCACTAAAATCATGTGTCCCTTTAGTCTGAATAGATATTCTTCTCTCCATTCCACATGTAAAACACATGTCTTGGTTACTTTTCTGTCATTGCTGAGACAAAATACCCAATGCCCAAAATGAAGGAAGGAAAGATTTATTTAGCTCACAGTTTGTGGAGGTTTCAGCCCATACTTGGCTGGCTCCAAGGTAGGGTGGCACATGGCAGAGGGCAAATGTTCATGGTGGCAAAAAGTAGCAAAGGAACTAAGAGCAAAAGAGGGGAGTGGCAGCGAAGAGCAAGCCTCTCTCCCTCCCTTATATTGTAAGCAGGCTACCCCCACCCAGCGGATGTGTAGCACTCACATAATCTCCAGGCTCTCCTCTTGCACAGGCTCAGGATGAATACAAAGTAAAGACCCTGGCTCCCTTCTGAGTCACATAGTTAACCTTCTCAAACGGACACAATAAACAACATCCCAGAAGGGTAAGGGCATGTCCTTCTTACCCCAAGATGCAGAACTGCTGAGTCACTTAGGCAAACATCTAGACTCTCCAAGTTGACACATTGTATCAACTATACCAACACACAAACCTCCTCCACAGGAGAGATACACCAGAGTCCTACCCTGTCACAGTATCAGACTTTCTGGCCAAGATCTCATTATAGTTTCTACATTCTGTGTCTGCCTTCTCCCAATCCCTGAACAAAACAGGAAAGCCTTCTGCCTTCTGCTTAGCTACATCCAAGGTTTGAAAAAGGAAACCAAATCCGCAGTAAACCTCCTGCTTAGAAGGGATGAACAGGAGGATCAGTGAAGTCACTTGTGGACAACACTACTGAAGTGCTAGCAGAGAGATCTGAGACGTTCCTATACCCTGTGCGGAAGGCCAGTTGGTTGATTAGGCCCTCATTTTGTTCCCTATCAGAAGCTCTCCAATATTATTTTTCTCCATAGTTCTTGCTTTTCCTTGATGGGTGTTTGCTTTTCCATCACCCTTCTTACCACATGTGAAAAAGAGATTTGAGAATTTGAAAAATAAGGCCTGTTTTAAGGCCAAGCACCTATACTTGCTGATTCCTTGAGGTAGAAGTTTGAGAGCTCAATAATTGATTAGATTTCAAAACATCACACTCTCTTCCAATCACTGCACTGAAGAAGCACAAAAATAAAACACATGAAGGGAAAAGGAAGTGGTTTTCTTTTTTTCTTGATCTTAATTTCTCTACAGTGTAACTGACAGAATAAGCAAAACAGTAGCAATGTATAGTATGATGATAGCATATGTAAAAGTAAATGTATCACCTTAACAGCCCAACGTATGGGAGAAATAAATTGGTACCACTGTGCTAAGGCCCTTAAAGCATACATAAACGAATCAGAAAAGATAGAAAACTCTAGGATCAGATGAAACAAACATAAAATAACCAGAAAAATGATACATTTCAACTGAAATATGTAAATAATCTCATTAAATATGAATAGTCAAAATGTAGTAATTAAATGATAGGATAAATAAGATCCCATATATACTGTCTACAAGAAATTCATTTTAAATATAAAAACATAGGTTAAAAGTAAAAATTTGTGAAAATATTTGTGATGCAAACACTAAACAAAAGAAAGGTGGCATAGCTCTATTAATCACCAGATAAAGTAGACATCAGAACAAAAGTATTATCAAGGCTATAAAAAGATATGAAGGTTAATACTTCAATCTTGTCTTTTGTGGTTGTGTTAGTCAGCTTTACTATTGCTTTCAAAATTCTTGACACCCACATCTGAAAGGAGAGTTTATTTTGGCTCATGTTTTAGAGGTTTAAGTCCGTGATAGGGTGGCTGCAAGAGAGAAATGGCATGGTGGAAGGGCCTGCTGAAAGAAGACTGCTCACCCCAGAGCAGCCAGGAAATAGAGAAGGGAAGACAGAGGGAAAATAATACTCTCTTGCAGGTCATACCCCCGGTGACCCACCTTTTCAGATCAGGCCCCACTTCCAAACACAGGAGATTTGGGGGCAACATTTTAAAATGAAACCACAACAGTAGTTAGGTGCTCTCTCTTGGTCTCCACTACTGCATAATCTCTATAAAAATCAAAAAGCTGAATAGTGTCACATATAACCCCTCACTATTATATTTCTCATTGCCTTAGAGAAGAGTGGGTCTTCTGAGCTCTCTCACGGACAGTACACATTCCCATCTCTGTGACTTTGAGTATTCTCACAGTATGCCAAGGAACCTCTTACATCTCAACCTGACTACATACATATAAGCTATTGTTAAGTACAAAAGTTCAGCAAAGAAATCAATTATACTATTAGATAACCTCCAGGTGTTCAAGCTGATGAATTAACTTTAAAGTGCATATTCTTATCAATAAAATCAGCTAAAATCCAGCAGTATATTCTGTCCTCATTAGTAAAACACCCTTAGTATACATTTCTAAATATGTTACTCAGGTTTCAGATGATACAAGTTATCAAATCTCGCTATTGCCTCAATGTGAAAGATATTTCCTCCAGGGCACAATCTGTGCTTATCTTCCACTACTATGTTGATATTTGATCCCAGTTATGAGAGGAGGAAAGTAACATGGAGTATTTATGGAAGATCTTAAAATGAGTATCCTTTTTCTCAAGGCATCTGTTTCAGTTGAGGTTCTCTCATGATTTTCCAACTGAG